TAAAACTTCATCTTAACTCCACAAACTGATCATGCTGAACTTAAAATAAACTAAACTGATCATTTAAGCAATCATGGTTCGAAAGTTGTCGGAAGGAAACGAAACTCGTTCAGTGATAACCTTACTTAAGCATGTGCGGACTTAGGCATGTTTAAATCTGAAATTCCGACAATTAATCCGAACACTTAACCTTAATTTAACTCTATCAACTTAATTACCAGAGGAGGAGGGTGTTACCTCTGATTGCTCGTCGGAAACGGAAGAACTATTGCTTAATCCTTCACCCCGCGTGCCCGTGCGTTACTTAGCTTCTTTGTCGTACACTTTATGAAAAATTTTGGAAATTATTGGGACTTAAAGTTTGCTGAAGAAGGGATCGTTCTATAGGGAAAAAGGGTGGGGAAAATTTTAGTTAATGGTCCCTTTTATAAGAGTGGCCGTGGGGATGGTTGATGAGGTAGCCATGTCGTGGCTTCCTCCCCTCTTTCCACTTGCTTCTATTTCTTGTGCCTAATCAATGACTAAGCACTCTTTGGTAATGACAAATGACTCATTATGATTGGTCAATTTCCTTTCCTTTGGCCTAAGGAAAGCTTACGGCCTTTGATTTAAAATTGGAAAAAATATTCCTTAATGCACGGCACTTAGGTTAATCATGTGATTAATTCACTAATTAATCACCACTTAAGTTTAATTATTTAATTAAACATGATACTTAATTACCAAAATTATTTCGGACGTAAACGGTACGTCGAAAATCAATTTCGGTAATTCCGACTGAACTTAATTAATTCCGAAAATAATAAACGATAACATTATTATATCGGAATTAAAACGTAATTTATACCGATTAAATATCGGGATATTACAATCCTCCCTCCTTACAAAATTTCCGTCCTCGGAAATTCAAAACATAGCTGAATACATGAACTATGTACATAAGATAAGGAAATATGTACATCAGAACTGGAAATCTGGAAAACGAGCGCGAATGTCTGACTCTTCCTCCCAGGTAGCTCCGTAGCGATCCCACTGAATGCGCACGAGGGGGATATCTCGCTTCCGGAGCCGACGGACCTGACGGTCTAGTACAGCTACCGGTCGCTCCTCGTACGACAAATCTGGCTGAACCTGAATATCCGTGTGAGGGATAACATGATCGGGGTCGCACACGTACTTACGCAACATAGATACGTGAAATACATTATGAATGCCTGATAACTCGGGAGGTAGGGCTAGACGATACGCGACCTCACCTACTCGCTCGAGAACCTCGAACGGACCTATGAAACGAGGGTGCAGTTTCCCTCTCTTGCCAAATCGCACCACTTCGCGAACCGGACGAACTCTGAGAAAGGCGTGCTCGCCAACCTCAAACTGGATGTCTCGTCGATGATGATCGGCGGAAGATTTCTGTCGACTCTGGGCTGTCTTGAGTCTCTGCCTGATCAACTCGACCTGCTCTGCTGTCTCCTCGATCATCTTAGGACCGAGTACTCGCCGCTCTCCAATGTCGTCCCAATATAGAGGGGAACGACCCTTGCGACCGTAAAGTGCCTCGTAAGGAGCCATCTGAATGGAGGAATGATAACTGTTGTTATACGCGAACTCGGCGTACGGCAACAGTGACTCCCACTTAGCACCCCTGTCAACAACCAAGGCACGAAGCATATCCTCGAGTGTCTGAATCGTCCGTTCTGACTGACCGTCCGTCTCCGGATGGTAGGCTGAACTAAACTCAAGCTTGGTGCCCATCGCCTCATGTAAGCTGTGCCAGAATCGGCTGACGAATCTGGGATCTCTGTCTGATACAATCGTGACGGGCACTCCGTGGAGTCGGATGATCCCACGGGTATATATCTCAGCCAACTTGTCCAGAGACATCCTCATCGAAACGGGTAAGAAATGCGCCACCTTCGTCAGTCTGTCGACCACGACCCAGATAGCGTCGTGATGTTCAGCCGACCTCGGCAATCCCGTAACGAAATCCATAGTGACCTCCTCCCACTTCCACCTCGGAATCGGCAGTGGCTGTAGGAGGCCAATTGGACTCTGATGCTCGGCCTTAACTTGTTGACAAGTAAGACACCGCCTAACGAACTCAGCGACGTCCTTCTTCATACCTCCCCACCAAAACGACCCTTTCAGGTCGTGGTACATCTTCGTGCTCCCGGGATGGGCCAAGTAAGGTGCGGTATGTGCCTCTGATAGAATCTCCTTCCGCAATGTCTCGGCCTTCAGGATCACGCTCCTGCCTCTGAACTCCAAGGCACCATCGGCGCCTAGCTGAAAGTCCTGTACTCCTCCGGCGCGAACCTTGGCCTCCATGACACGCACAAACTCGTCAGAAGCCTGCTCTCGCCGAATCCTCTCCCTCAGTGTCGGCTGAAGCTGCATAGCACTGACACTGGCACTAGTGCTCCCCGAGACAGCTGTGGGGAGTGCATCGATCGCCTGAAGCTGCATCCGGGCGAACTCATGGATCAACGGACTCTGCTGTGTGATAACGTACGTCAAGTCTCCCGTCACCTTTCGGCTTAGGGCATCTGCGACGACGTTCGCCTTCCCCGGATGGTATTGGATAGAACAATCATAATCCTTGACCAATTCGAGCCAACGACGCTGCCTCATATTAAGCTCCTTCTGCGTGAAAATGTACTGTAGGCTCTTATGGTCAGTGAATATCTCGCAGCGTCGGCCATAAAGATAATGACGCCAGATCTTCAGGGCGTGAACGACTGCGGCTAACTCTAAGTCGTGCGTAGGATAGTTCTGCTCATGGGGCTTAAGTTGACGCGAAGCATACGCAACGACCCGTCCGTCCTGCATAAGGACACATCCCAAGCCCTGCCTCGAAGCATCGCTATAGATAGTGAAACTCCGAGAAGGATCGGGGATAGTCAACACCGGTGCTGTCGTCAATCTCCTCTTGAGCTCCTGAAAGCTCGCCTCACATCTGTCAGTCCATTCGAACTTCACAGATTTCCTCGTTAGCTGGGATAGGGGGAGGGCAATCTTCGAGAAGCCCTCGATAAACCTGCGATAGTAACAAGCTAATCCGAGAAAACTGCGAACCTCGGACGGACTCCTCGGTGTCGACCAGTTCTGCACGGCTGAAACTTTAGAAGGATCCACCTCAATACCTGCCTGGGTAATAACATGACCCAAAAAAGATACTCGCTGAAGCCAGAACTCGCACTTGGAGAATTTGGCGTACAACTTCTCTCGTCTGAGGGTTTCAAGGACCACCCTCAGATGCTCCTCATGCTCCTTCTGATTCTTCGAGTAGATAAGAATATCGTCAATAAAGACAATAACGAACTGATCGAGGTATGGATGAAAGATACGGTTCATGAGATCCATGAACACTGCTGGCGCATTGCTGAGACCGAAAGGCATGACTACAAACTCGTAATGGCCGTAACGAGTCCTGAAAGCGGTCTTAGCGATGTCTGACTCCTTAATCTTCAGCTGGTGGTAGCCTGATCGTAAGTCGATCTTCGAGAATACACAGGCCCCCCTCAACTGGTCGAATAAGTCGTCGATCCTGGGAAGCGGGTACTTATTCTTGATCGTCAACCGGTTGAGATCCCGGTAGTCGATACACATTCGCATAGATCCGTCCTTCTTTTTGACAAAGAGAACGGGTGCTCCCCATGGTGACACACTCGGTCGGATAAAACCGAGTCGTAATAACTCCTGAATCTGAGTCTTAAGCTCCTGTAACTCTTTAGGCGCCATGCGATATGGGGCTTTAGATACTGGTCCGGCCCCTGGGATAAGATCAATGGAAAACTCCACTTGACGGTTGGGCGGTCCTCCTGGAAGCTCGTCTGGGAAGACGTCAACAAACTCGCGAACGATAAGAACATCATGAGGTGTCCGCGCTTTCTGAGAATCCTCAACAAGGCTTACCAGGTAACCCTGGCAGTTGCCTCGTCGCAATAACTTAGTGGCTTTCGCCATCGAAACAACCTGAGGCAGTGAACGGTTCTTGGAGCGGAAGAAAGTAATCGACTCGTCTCTCGGAAGATAGAGAGTAATCTCCCGGTCATGACATCTGATGTCAGCATGATAGAAAGAAAGCCAATCCATCCCGAGAATAAGATCGAAATCCTTCATCTCGAGAACAAATGCGTCGGCAGTCAATACTCGACCACCGATAGAAAGGCTAAGATCTGAGGCTTTGGCTGAGGTCACTATCTTTCGTCCCGAGGCTAGACTCACCTCGAGAGGATCGACAGCGGTAACGGCATGAATTCCGATGGCATCGAGACATCGGCGTGAAATAAAAGTGTGCGTCGCTCCAGTATCGAATAAAGCGAACACAGGAATATCATTGAGAACAACCATCCCGGACATAGTACCTGGTTGCTGTGCTGCCTCCACCTGATCGACCGCGTAAACCCTGGCCTGCTGCCTGCCCCTTCTGCTGCTGCTGCTGCTGCTGAGGCGGTCTCTGTGCTTGCTGACGTGGTTGCTGCTGCTGAGGTGGCGGCTGAGGCTGCTGCTGGAGTCTCTTCGGACAGCGACTAGCAAAATGTCCCGGCTCATGGCAAAAGTAGCAGATGTCCTGTCCCATATGGCACTCTCCCCTGTGAAGTCGACCACAAGTCGGGCACGGTGGAATCGGCTACTGTCTCTGTCGAGTCCTCCGATCAGTCGGTGCACCCTTACCCTTCCTCTTCTTCTCCTTTGCTGGCTGAGGGGCTGGTAGAGCTGGTGGAACTGCAAATGGCTGAGCTGGGGCGGATGGCTGAGCACGATCACGAACGGCCTCCCTCCTGATACTAGCATCTACCTCCTGGGCAATAGAGACTGCTCGTGCATACGTCTGTGTCCCGTGTCCCACGATGTTATGACGGACTGCTGGGTAAAGTCCGTCAATGAACCGCTGAGCTCTCTGGGCCTCCGTGCGAACAAGATCCGGTGCGAAACCTGCAAGTCTGGTGAACTCACGCTCGTACTCATCGACAGTACGAGTGCCCTGCTGAAGCGCTAAGAACTGGCGCTCCATCTCTGCCCGATAGTAAGAAGGGTAGTACTTGTCGCGGACTAGATTCTTAAACATGTCCCACGTACAACCCGCTTTTTCACCGGGACGCATGCTCCAGTAGGCGATCCACCAGAGCCTCGCATCACCAGTGAACTGAAGCTGAGCGCAAACTACGCGGTATCTATCGGGACATTCCATAACCTCAAAGATGAACTCTAACCCCTGAATCCATTCATCAACGATCCGGGGGTCTCCCTGTCCTGAGAACTTCTCTGCGTGATAGTCGCGGAACTGAGCGACTACCGTAGCCTGGGTAGGACCCTGATGATCGGGCTCTCTACGTGGCGGCATCTGAACATTGAGAAAGATTAACATTACTGAATTGTAACACCCCACTTTGATTTTACAGAAATTTCGAATTTTCCAAAAACCAGAAT